AAGCTAGTACAGTTTCTTGGTTTTGGTTTTATTTTTTTCTTTTAACTTGCTTTCAGATTTGGCAGATATTTTACACCATTATCTCTGCTTTACTTCTCCAATACTTGTTTCAAGACTTGGTGGTCTTGCAACGTAAAATTTTCTCTTAATTTTGCAGCCACAATTACTCCAAAACAATCTGTAATTTTTAGGAATGGAGAAAAGAAAATATGCAGCCTGGGATTAATATTAGAAGAGTTTAATTTTGGAACAGTTGGAACATTTCCTTCCTGAGAGAGTCCCAGGATACGGCGATGCACCTTATGAAATGCTTGGCGAGCTTCCTGCTCGCCTTCAAATGTCTGCCCTCTGGTATTTCTGAGTGGCAGTCTACCTGGCTGGTGGGCTATTTAGTATCTTAGGCTTTTGTCCAAATAAATTCACAACACAACTGAAAGGTGAGACACTCCAACCATGTATCAGGATTTTGTGGTTTACTTAACTTAATCTGCAATTCTGTTGACACTTGGGAAATTGTTGCTATCAGGTTTTCAAAACTTTCTCTTGGCTGTTTTTTTGGGGGGAAAACTTTGTAGGTAAATTATTATTCAAAACTGACTCATGAAGACATCATCCTTTCATGGAACTGGACATCAGATATGCCTTTGGAGTGTACATCACATTACGCAAAGATTCGCTGTTACGTTAATGTGACACAGCTTGTTGGCCCTACGAGTTGGAGTGACTGGAGCCCAGTAGAAGAGGTCCCTGGTATGTTTGCTCCACTTGGACTTTGATTGCTTTATGAAACGTAAGCCTATAACAGAAGAAAAGCATTAAGTAGTGATGGGATGCTGCTTTCTGGGCATGTTTTGGTGGGAGAAATAGTGCAATTGTTAGTCAATAAAACCTAGTAAATCTTGATTTATATGCTTTGGAGTGTTCCTAAGTCACATCTTGGGTGTTGAGTGCCACTGTTTATATCAAATGGTTCATGCAAGATTTTTTGTTCTTTTTTGTTTTCTGTTCTTCCTTCTCTGCTAGGAAAAGATACTGACCCCAATGGGAGTGGGATGTTTCCTCAGGACACCGTGGTGGCAGTAGGTTCAGATGTGACAATTTGTTGTGTTCACAAAGAAGGACAGCAGATAAAACAGATGACGTATGGAGCAGAAGTATACCCAGTGATACATCTGAGCAGTCGGAGCAGTGCAATCATAGTGCGAAATGCCAGTGCTTCACATACCAGTGGGACAAATGTAGTGTGCATGCTGTCCGAATATGAGATGGATGGAACTGTCTTGTTTGTAGGATGTACGTATTATGTTCACTAAACTTATTAAAATCAAAATAATTTTGAGACTTTTAGAGTTCTTCTAAGAAACAAATACTATTGTGTCTTTCTGTCCCCTGGCCTTTAGTTTCTGAGAAAGAATTTGGATTGTAATTTTTTTAATTTGCTGTGAAAGCTCCACCCATGGAGAAGACAGCAAGGCTAGAAGGATGAGGAGGTACCCTTATCAATTAAAACCTGTGCTTCTCTCCTTGATCTCTTTTTCTAAGGCACTTCTTTATGATCTGGAATACTTAGTAGCTTATTGCCATATGAAGATTCTTCCTCAGTCTCTATCACTTTAAGTTTACATTGGTTCTAGTTAGTTCCATGACAAGGCAAGAGTAAGATTACAAACTGTGAGTGAAAACATCCGTTTACCAGCCAGTCAAATTAAGAGCGTAAAACAGTTAGGCTTGCCACAACAACAGATTCTTGTGCCGAGTAGTAGCTCCCTGGGAGCTAATTACACCAAAGGAACCCAGCTGACAGTTCCTCTTTCCTGGAAAATCATCTGAAAGGTATTTTAGTATTTTATTTAAAGGTACTGAATCACTGTGTATCTTCTCCGTGTAACCATGCCAGCCTCAGAAATCTCTTCAAGATACCGATACCTTTTAAAGCAAACTACTGAAAGTAGCTCGTTCTTCTTTCCCAAAATTGATCACTTCAGAGCTTCCTGTGTTTTCCCCTCAAGGGTTTTGAGAGTTAGCATCTTCCAATAGCTACCTATCAGAATCCTGTTTCCCATTACAAATACCTGGCTTTGAACATAGTGTTCTTCAGCTTCAGGGAAAGGAGAGATGAGAGTGGACTTGTTTTGAAAGTGTATTCCCAACTCCATCCTGTGCCTCCTCTCATTGTCTTTGTGCATTAAGTGTGAGATAGCAAATGCAAAACAGAATCCAGCCTTTAATGACTTCTCAACAAAATGGTGTTTTCACATTATTTGTGTAGTATTTGCTTTTGTGGGAGATATTTCCAGATACATTGATCAGTGGTTCGTGAAGGAAGGCTGTGATAATCCCACAGGCTTTTCCCATATAGTGATTTCTGAAGAACTGTGATGTTGGCAAGTCAGTTTCTTGCCAGTGTTTCTTCTTGTGTTACCTACTTAGTGGGAAGGGAAAAGGCTTGTCAGGATGCTCTTGCTGATGTGAGGCATTTGGGGAAGAAAAGGCAGAGGAAGTAAATGTGTATGCATGATACCTTGGTTAAGTCTAGGCCTGGCAAAATAAATGTTCTTTTTGGACTGCTGGTTATAATCAATAGTAAGCCTGACACTGTTGCCTCTTGTGTTAGTGCTCCTTCTCTGGGGCAGCTACATGGATATTATTGTGCTACTTTTTGGAGAAAAGTGTATGAGGCTTGAAACAAGTCTCACCTTAGCATGATTGCCCTTTCTGTTTCAAGCACAGCCCATCTTCTGCAAGGCACTTCTTACTGCTTTAGTATGGGAGCAAAAAACAAGCTTTACAAGAAAAAGATGGGCATTTGCAAAGCAAGGGTGAAGAAGACAAACCATTCAGGGTTTGCTTTAGCTTTCAAATTCAGTGTGGAATCTATGCTAAAGAGAACCTATCCTTGACGTTACTTACTTGGAGGATTCAAAACAGCGGTGAAGCTGGCATGTAAGAAAAAGTGATGCACAGCCAACAGCATTCCTATTTTGCTGAGAATTTTGGAAGAGTCTTAGCAGAGTTTCAGTGAAATACTTCCAGGTCAGAGCCTGGAATTTGTGAACATAATTTGCATGTGATTTACCAGATTAGCCACCCACTTAAAGACCTAGAGTCAAGTGTTAGTCAAGTGGGGCTGATAATAATAACCATTTGTTCTACTGGGATTTTTTTAAAGCATATTGTTTATGTGGTTGGAGTGTAACTATTACCATGTATTTGTGAGGCACACAACCTAAGCCCAGTAACAAAAAATGGGTGATGCTTCTAAGGAACTACTATCCCAACTGTCCCATTAGGATGGCAAGACAGCAGCTAACTTTTGGTTTCCTTTCATGCTACAGATGCCCCTGATATTCCCCAAAATCTCGTTTGTGAAACATCAAACTTCTTGATAATAAAGTGCACCTGGAAACCAGGCAGACCCAGTGGACTATATGGAAAACGAAGAACAAAGTACAGTTTATTTGAAAGGTAAACAAATTCAGCACTAAAATAAGTAAAAGCATAGAACTGGAATATGTCTGTTGCTGCCTGTGACTTTCTACACTATGCCTATTTAAATAAGATGGTTTCCATTGTTTAGAGTCTAAAATACTTTTCAAGAGTTTTGTGGAAGCTGAAACTAAACTACACTTGGACAACCTTTGTCTAGCTCTGAAAAATTGCAATGGGAATTAAGGTTGTCTTTTCCCAAAGGTTTATGTCATTATGAACTCATGAGAAAACAGAGTGCTTACTGTGTCAGGCCTCTGCCAACATCTAAATAAGACCAATCTGAAAATACAGGGAGATAGCAGAAGTTATTAACTGATTTTTAATTTTATTTATATGCAGCCTGTGTCAGATCATCTGTCAGACATTTACAGAGCTTGTGCTCTGCAGGACAGAAACTAACTTGGGAACAATTGTAAAACAGGCCATGGGGCATTTTCCAAATGCTACTAGGGAAAACATCAATAAGCCTACACCCATTCTCCTCCCAGCATCAAAAATCTAGATAGGGTAGAGGAAGCAAAGTGCATGTTACCTTGAAAACACTGAACAGGACAAATAATGCTGGCATCATCCACAGAAAGAAGTGAAGACTGATGTCCCACTAGTTTCTCCTATGTGGTAGACCATGTAAAGCCTTAAAAGTGAAGAGTTGTTGTTTTGGAGTAGCACTTCCAAATGGGATTGCTTGGTGATTATGGTTAGAAGTTAGGGAGAAGTTAACCCCTGTAATGCCAAAGAAGCAGTCCGGGGAGAGAGCGGGGGGAGGCCTGAGTCTCAACAACTTACGGGAAATGGTATCTCCTGGTAGCTTTAGAGCAAGTCAGAAGCAGTGCGGATTGCGTTCTGGTCACAGAGGTCATCCAGGATTCTAGTGCTCAAGAAGTCGGGTATGGTGCACAGCATGGACAAAACAGAGCAGGTATTAAAAGGAAAGGAAATCCAGTCACTGGCTGCCCATATTCAGGTCATAAATGAGGATGTAGTTCAGACTTGTTTTGCTCAACTCAGAGGTGTTAGGAAATGAACGTAATGCATTTCAGGGTAAATATTCTCATCCTTGTCAAACCACACTGAGCTGTTGAAGTAGAGAGAATGATGTGGAGAAAGCTCAGAGCTCAGCTAGAACACAATAAAAATGCCTGAAGGAAGAAATGAAACTTGTGCTACTAAATGGAAGTTTACACAGATTATAACTAATGCAACTTATATATAGATACATTAATACAGATACACGCTTTATATTTTACCCCTAAAGATATAACTCTGGTCTTGTCTGTTACCATCCTGGTTTTAATTTTAGAATAGCTGGGACTAGTGGATGTATCCCAGGTAACAAACCTTAGTTTAGGTTTGGCAGGGCTGATAGAAAACATAAGGTGTTCATCTCCATTGTTCAAAAAGCAATTAAGAACATTCTTTAAATGCAAATGTATACTGGTCTGAACAAAGATACTTTAAATCAGAATCTTGGTTGTAACTTGTGAGGTGGATTTACAGGACCTACCTGTTTTACAGGCTCTTAAGAAGTGAGAGGATGGAAATGCCTTATGTTAGTGTAAGAGGAGAGTTTCACGTGAGAACAGGGCAAGTCATGACTGATGCCACTTTAACCTGCATTGTGGTGGTAGATAGGCCTCTGCAATCAAATAATTCTGTAAGCCATGTGTCAGTGAACCCATCAGTCTTTATGTGTTTTCGGTCACTAGAAATTACCTTATTTAAAAACTTAAGTTGTTCCCCTCACCTTTTTTACTTTGTAGAATATCTGGTAAAAATGTTTCATGTGAAGTCAATGAAATGAACAGAGAGCGTGTCTGTGGCTTTCCAGTACTGGCTGATCAAAAAACCTATGATTTCATATTAGGCGTCTCCAATCCTATTGGGCAAACAGAGTCATCACTTTTGGTTGATTTAGTTCAAAGAGGTAAGACTTAACAATTACAGAAGAAAAAAAAATATGTTTACTGTGTGCTAACCATTTGTTTGGTTTGGGTCTGAAGAACTGATGGGGTGTACTTGTCTTTTTTTTTTTTTTATTGTCACCAGTATTTTGCTGTGTTAAATAATTTGAACTTGATAAGAAAATAGCTTAAGACATGTCCTGAGGCAATTATTAGGTTTACAGGCAGATGCTAGTTCTCAGCAACAGTGGTACCAGATTGGATACACTGCTGTGTATATAACTGCTACTTGAGATTTGGTCCCTGCTCTATGAAGCGGGTACGGACAGGCTGGAGCAGGTCCAGAGAAGGGCCACAAGGATAATCAGACAACTGGAGAACCTGCCATATGAGGAGATGTTGAGAGAACTGAATTTGTTCAGTCTTGAGAAAAGAAGGCTTCTGGGAGACTTCATTACTGTGTTCCAGTACTTCAAGGGTGGCTACAAGGAAGATGTAGGTTCCCTATTCACAAGGAATCATATGGAAAAGACAAGGGGTCATGGGCACAAATTGATCCTGGGGAGATTCCAGTTGGACACAAGAGGTAAATTTGTCACCATGAGTAGAGTCAGACATTGGAATAGTCTCCCAATGGAAATGGTAGATTCTCCCACATTGGACAGTTTTAAGTGTCAGTGTGACAGGGTGCTGAGCCATCTCATATAAACTGTAGTACTACCTAGGAAAGGTTGGACCCCATGATCCTAGAGGTCCCTTTGTGACTCTGTATCTCAGTGTCTGCTTATAAGGTAAAATATTATGCAGATTTATGATGGGATTTAAAGCATTAAAAAATAGTAGCACTAAAAGGTAATAAACAGGAGTTTTACCATGATCATGTGCTATCTTGGTTTGTAGAAACAAACAGCTTCTTTCATTAGACCTTAGTTTAAACAAGAAAAGGGAGAACATGACCACCTTTCTAGTGCTGTGTTCCCCATCCTTCTCCATCAGTAGTACTAATGAATGTTCTTGAAAAGTTCCAGAAAAGAGTACTGGGGAAGGAGAAATCATTCAGGATTTCCTACTCTGTCCTACTGTGCAGATTTTAAGTTTTAATTTACAGAGTTCCTAGAAGGTGAACACAGCTGAGTATTTTGTCCGTCACTGTAGACTTCTGAAATAGCCCATGTTTCACTTTTTTTTTTAAGTCAGTAGGAAGGGAAATGTTTTTCTGTGTCTCCAACTCCTTGTCATGTATGCCAGTATTCTCAGCCCTAAGAAAATCTGTTCCCATGTTCAACAGCTGAAATGAGCATCAGGAGTGAGACTGCTAAGTGATTCTAGTTGCTGATTAGATCTTATTTATCCTTATGCTGCTCTTCGATTTTTTAAAATAAGATTTTTCTGAACTAAGGTAAATATTTTTTTCTTAGTACTGAGAGATTTTTCTTTATTTTTTAAGTTCATCCAAAAACTCCAGAAAAGTTAACTGTTTATGGAAACAGCTCTACAAGCGTCCATCTGCGTTGGTTTATAAACAGCAGCTTTGCTGAAATCAGGCTTCTGTGTCAAATTGAAATTAGCAGTGGTCACTCTGAGCGAAAGCTGGTAAGTGTTGCTTTGAAAGGATTTTTACTTTTTTTTTTTTTTTTTTTACTTCTTTTTGGCTTCTTTTTGGTGTTGGTTGATGATTTTCACTGAACTAACTGTGTGGCAAATTCTTCTCTAAGAGCTTCTTTCTGATCATCATAATAAATTATTAATGTAGTAATGACTAGAAGTTCATCCACTCTAGAAGTTAACGTACTAAAATCAGAAAAAGTTCTGCTCAACTCTGTGCCTACTTTCTTTGGTTTTGTGTGGTGTTTTTTTTGTTTCGTTGGTTTGGTTTGTTTGTTTGATTGATTTTAAACAATTGGTAGGAGACAATTACAATAGTGCTTTACACTGACCCTTGAGGCAATAGTCTGTGTGCTTTGTCCTTCCTCATGTAAGCTATATTAACACATGCTGGTTCCAGGATGTGGTGCTTCCCTGCAGTCTTCCACAGTGGTTATTTCAGATTGCCTTCTGCAGTATATTGTTGAATTTTTATTTAATTTTTTTTTAATTTCACACCCTCCCTCCCTCCCTCAGAGAACAGTCCACTTGTTCGCTGTCAGCAGTTGAGAACCATGTAAGGGAGCTTCTAAGCTTCCTCGTATGTCAGTACTGTAGAGATAGGATAGGAAAGTGTTCTCCTATTGGGTATATCAGTAGGTAATCCCCAGTGAAGACCTCTGCAGCTGGATAGAAGGTGGTATTTCTGAGTGGAGTTCAGATTTCCCAGCATTCTGGCTTCAGCTGCCCAGCTGCATGCTCTGTGTCACTAACTGGAGCCACGTGTTCACTCTGCTGACTGCCAGAAGAGCACAGGACACTAATTTAAACACCAGCATCAGGTATTGAGTGTAGGGGGCAGGAATACATGCTCTTCTTCTGTACTGCCCAACATTAGTGTTGGGGTGATATGTGCCACTGGAGAAGCCTCATGGCAGAACTGCCAACCCCCAGATTCTGTGTTTGCACATTCAGATGGAGTATCTCTGACCAGCTTGGGTAGGCACAAGTGGAATTAACAGTTCTTGGTGCACAAAGCCTGAATTTGTAATTTGAGCACATTAACCCCAGAGGCTGCTTTTTACAATGCTTGGTTGATTTTTGGCAGGTGTATTCTATTACCCACTGCATCTAGTTGCCTGTTGGACACAGTTATTGGGTACAACTTGCAGAAATCCACAGCCTTGAATAAATTCACAGAAGTGATGCAGCTAAGACTGAAAATAATAATTATATACATTACCTCTAAAATAATAGGGTGGTAGTTAATGCATTATCTAGAAGAGTATTTTTTAAATACTTTTCAGAGCATTTAAAGATTGTGGAAGCCATAAGCTCCTGTATTTTCCCTATAATTAGTAATAGATTAGGTACTGCAGAGAAAGCCATAGATATCTTTGGAATTTACAGCAGAAAAGGTTGACTTTTAGATGTACACAACAGCTCTGACAGACGAGCTGTGCTGGATTTCGGCATGTAGTCTGATATCATCACCTAAATTTGTCTGCATTTCTCTCCTCCCAACAGTTAGTGCCTCTGGAGCAGTCAGCAAGGGAAACAAACAGCCAAGTGAGACCCACCTCCAGCTCAATGAGCTGAACATGGAGTTAAGCTAAAAAGTGGGTTTGTACAGTTCTGTGTAGCCAGAGTTAGGCTGCTCAAAGCCTGGGGCACACACTTGCTTGTGAACTCTGCTACCCTGTGTAGCAGGTGGGAGATGGTAAGGACTTACATTAGGGCCACAGTGGTTCAATTCACTGGACCTGTCTCGGAGCCCAGAGATGCAGATATTTTGAAACACAGCAAACAGCTTGGTAGAAGCTTTTTACAGCCTTGTTATATTGTCTCTGGTTGCTTAATAATAAGCCTCCAAGAGTTCCCTGTAATAAACAAAACTAGCTGTGAAATTGTTGTGGGGTTTTACATGGCATTTTGAGGATGTTTTCAGAGGCTTTTCCATCTGAGAGGTTGTCGTCCTTTTTGATATTTTTCAAATTGTTATTTGGCTTTAGAACTGCAAAATTAGTTGCAGCTTAAGGTCGCTTCGAGTCCAGTTTTGGTCAGCTGTGGTGCACATGTGTTTTAATTAAATTAAGTAAAAAGTAATTCCAGGCATAGGGTTTCTTTAGTAGTTGTGAAACTAAGATGCTCCCTAGGCTAGTACCTTTTTAAGAATAACAGGGAGACTAGTCCAGTGATAAGAGTTGTGAACAGAGATCAGCTGGGCAAGACTTGGATACTGACAGGAAAACTGACTTCCTAGGAAGAAAAATGTATGATAAGCATCTTGCCCAGGTTATTAACATGCTTCTGTGCACTTGTCTTAGGAAAAGGCCTTTGCCCACCCAGTTTGATGAGCACATGCACAGTGGAAGTGCAGGTTCTGAATACCAGAGGTGAAATCTTAGCCTGCCTCATATGACCATAAGTTTTGCTGCGTATGGGATAGAGGGCTGGATGGGATAGATGGAGAGCAGCAGCCTGCTGCTGTGTGCAGAGCTCATCCCATTGAAGGGTTCTCAGTGTTATCTCTCATTGTTATGCTCTACATCTCTAAGGTGCTACTCACAGTGATATTTCAACTTCCGTGCTATATATGACTTCATTTTGGCAGATTTCTGGACAATTTTACTTTTTTTAGAGTGACTGCATAGGCAATATTTTTCTTTTTTCATCACTTTCTTTGTACATCTTGACTGTAGCTTTCAGGTTTTTTTCACACTCTCAGTGTTCTTGGGGAGAAGTATTCACCTGTTGAGGTGTTAACTTTCAGCATGATCTAGAAGCAAAAATATATACATAACATAGCAATTTCTGTAAATTTTTAACAGCACAATGTCTCCATGCCTGGTGGAAAATTTTCAACTTACACAGCTCAGGTGAACACATTGCACCCATATACCAAATACCACTTCAGAGTACGCTGTTCAGCTGCTGACCACTTTTGGAAGTGGAGTGACTGGAGCAGGATAGAGGAGCACACAACAATGGAAGCCCGTAAGTTTATTTAATACTTCGATGATAAAGTACTGAACTTGTGAAGCCATGTGATTTAAAATTAGCCATCTAAAAAGCTACCTTTTTGATAGATGGTAAATTGTCTACTATGCAACTTGAAAAAAAAAAAACAAACCCAAAAAACAAACCAAAAACATGACAACTACAAAAAAAAAAAATTTTTTTTTTTCTCTTAGCTCCTGCAAGAGGACCAGACATCTGGAGAGAGAGAAGTCCTACTGGAAAAAGTCTAAAAATCTTCTGGAAGGTAGATAAGACACTTAAAATTTTAAATGGAACTCTGTGAAAAAGCATTTCCTTATATATTTATAATGAGTGAAGTTTATAATCAATAAATTGAACTGCTTTTCTTAACTTTTTATAGAACCATGAGATTAGTATTTTTCCCCAAATGAGATTATACAAGCTTTATAATTTAAGCATTGTATTTAGAAGCATTTCACTTGAAGATTTAAATTTTTGATACATCCCAGCTGAAAAATAAAAATTTATGAACTTGCTCATTCTCAAAGTCATACCTAAGTAAGGTTTCTTCTGCCTCATAGTACTACATGTTACATTTCCATCCATGAGTTTGTCCCCTGGTACCAAAATTGTGTTACTGTTTTATGGAGACATGATTTCAGACTTTGAAGTAATAATATTCACTTTAATGTGAGTATTTCCAGATAAAAACTCATTACTGAAATACCTCATGTCTTTGAGCCTGTCACCTGCAGATGACTAGAGACCTAAAGGAAAGCTGAGGAGGGACTTTTTACAAGAGCATGTAGCAATAGGACACACAAATGGCTTAAAATGAGGAGAGATTTAGATTAGACATTAGGAAGAGATTCTTTAGTGTGAGGGTGGTGAAACCCTGGAACAGGTTGCTCGGGGAAGCTGTGAATGCCCTCTGCCTCAAAGTGTTCAAGGCCAGATTGGATGGGGCTTTAAGCAGCCAGGTGTAGTGGGAGGTGTCCCTGCCCATGGCAGAGGTCTTGGAACTGGACTCTGCTCTTTAAGGTCCCTTACAACCCAAACCATTCTGTAATTCTGTATCTTCTCATGTTTACTCCCATTTCGGTTTTTATGTGCTCTTTTTCTGTTCATAGCCCTTATCCCTTTCTGAAGCCAATGGAAAAATAGTGTCTCATAAAGTGTCCTGCTCCCTGCTAGAGACACCACTGGAATATGAAGAAGTCATCGAACCCTCAAACAGTACAGAAGTAAAACTTGGAAAAAATGACTGTGTAATTACTGTTGTAGCCAAAAACCATGCAGGTTTGTCTCCTCCTTCAAGGATAACGAGCGTGGAACTTCCAAGCGGTGAGTCCTCCCAGCAGAGAGCTAAATACCTTCGAAATTTGGGGGATACCTGGGCAATTGTTTTTGAAAAATAAGATTATATATGCTTTCTTTGTTTGTGGTTGGTTTCTTGTTTATTTCCCCACCCAAAAGTAACGGGGCAAGTGAAGAGAAAAATATTGGTGCTTTGCTTTTAGGGTAGCATCTCATCAATTAATTGTGATCTCTGCATAAAAGGAGGGTTGATAATGTGCAGTCTCTTCAGCTACTTTGCACTTTTCTGGAGCCTCCCAGGAAAAAGAGTGTTGAAGTTTCAAAACATTAGTCTCTGATGTTTAGGGAGCTCAGATTACTTCTGTGTGCTCTTGTTGAAACACTGAAAAGTGTTACATGCTAAGGAGAATCACAATAAAGTTTTGGGTATATTGCGTGGCTTTTTAAGGGAAGAATTGTCAGTTCAATGCCTGTGAGCTCTGCAGGAGAATATTAAATGGGCTGGTTGGTAAAATGTTGGCAGCCTTGTGCTAGGAGCAGGGGTTTGAGAAGGAGATAGGACTTCAGCTTCCCAATTAAAACACTACCACTCTTGCAGTGGACTTTTGTATAGAAAAATAGCTGAGCTAGATGATGATTCTCTGCTCCTAGCACTGAGCTTGGGGAGAAAATAATATCGGATGTGGCTATTGAGAGTCCATGCTCCCTTGCACTCCAGGAAGAGTTTAATCTCCCAAATCCTAAACCTTTAGTTCCAGATCTGCTTGATGCTCTGCAGGAAGGACAGATTTACACAGTGAGGCCCCCATCTGCTTGTTTGCCAGGAGCATGTATTGTGCTGCTTCTCCTTCCTCACTCAGAGGACAGCTATCATCATCTCATTTTCCCACCTTGCAACTCGCATTGTGATGAGGCAGTTCTGTCTCTTAAAGGAAGAAATGTATTTTGATGAAAATTCAGTTTGAGAAAAAAGCAATTTATTTCAATGCAAAGAAAGTGACATTTCATAGTGTTTCTTTTGTGCTTCTCCAAAACACCAATAGCTCAAATGCATTTTTTAATCTGTAACGGTAATTTTATAGGACAGATGAATGAAAGAAAATACTTTTATAGCTTTCCTTCATCAGTGAAAGAAGGAGCCTCTGGCAGTTAAGGAGGTCTGTAATAGCTTTGTGGTGTGGGACAGCTGATGGCAGCTGGAGCTTTGTGTTCATTTATAGCTTTCTCTCAGATATCTGAGTTCCCTTTGGTGTTACCCAACTGGTACTCGTTGAAGATTTGCTCCCAAGTTGGTATAGGAATTATCTGAGTCACTGACTGGAGTCATGAAAAATGACTCATTCACTGAACTGGATGACTTTTCTGCCCAAACATCTTTTCTGGCTGCTTCCTGTGTACAGTCTGTAAGTGCTTTTAATGTCCATAAGAGACCAGTGGCTCTGAAGCTTGAGATCTGATGAGGTTTTGTGAACACTGAAAACACAGAGTACTCTGCCTTAATTAATTTGTCACTGTCTCTGAAAACTGCTCTGTAGAGAAGACATAGAATCTGGCTGCTACTGACTTCCCTTCCCCAGTAGCACTGTAGTGCTTGTACTTCTTTATACTAGTCTAGGTTGCAGCTATAAATACACCAAAACGAGCACCACCACCCTGGGTGAATTTCTAGTCATCTGGCTCAGGAAATAAAATTGAGTGTGGTGTATTTAAGCATTTTTTACAGAGTATGTGTTCACTGTCAGTAAAAAGTCTTTCCTGTAATAGGGAAATTAAAGCAGTTTAAGCAGGAATATGCTCTCTTACAGTGTCATAGAAGTGTAGTTTCACTGGATGTATCGCAGTTTTTTAGGGAAAAGTATTGAAAGACTTCTAGCGTTGAGCTGCTTTTTTTAGTGTGTCTTTCCTGCTGTAAGCAAACTAGAAAAGGGTGGTAAACTTAGCTGTATGTTGAGATTACTTTAAAGAGACAGGCCTTCGACATTCACAGCGTGCCTGTTACAGTAAACTTTTCACAGCACTGGTTCTTCAAAACTGCCCTTGCCCTTCTGCCTTCCATAGTTTATGGCTTTAATAACATGAAATAATAGACTCAATAGGGAGCACAAATAAGAACACTGAAAAAGGAAAAACTGAAATCCTGAGATTGTTTTTGCAGATATTTCATGGGGCCACCGCTCTTGTAGTGGCCTTTGGAAAACGTCCCTTAACTCAGCAGGGTCTCAGCTGATGGAGAGCTGTGGAAGGAAGCTGCAGGAATCAGAAGTTGTTCCCACAGCTGATCACTTGAAGGGCAGCTAAACCTTTGATAATCAGAAAGGAGAAAAATAGACTAAAGACAAAGCTTTTCCCCTTTTATTTATTTATTTATTTTTCTTAATTTGCTTTTGTTAGACTGAAGCCTCCATAAAGTTCACCAGGGACTTGACTTTTACTGTTTATTCGTGGTGGAAAATGGTTGTCTGTGGTCAGGCAAGTGACAGCAAGACACTCTGAAAGATAAACAAAGCAAACTGATGAAATGACAGGAATTCGTAGCTGGAGGCTCCTGCCAAATTGGTGTTAAGTCAGATTTGAACCCGGCATCCGTGTAAACCCTTACCTTGAAACAATGCTTTTTAAGTCAGCCCTGAGCTGCAGTTCTTCTCGTCATCACACTTAAGGCTGGCTGAGACATTTGCCTGCAGGCTATGTCTGATTTCAGAGCACTTCAGAAAGCACAGCTGAGTGCACCACTTCAAATTGCGCAGTACCAGGAGTGCGCCTCTCATTCGTAGAAATTACTGCAGTTTATAAAACCTTTGTGCTGTGGCTGGAAGGCTTTCTTCCAGCTTAGACTACAGATAAGTGTCTGCTCTCTGATGGATTTTTGTGTCATCATTGTTGCAGACAATGTTAAAACAGACCGGGCTGTCGCGATGGGGAATGGAATTTACATTTCTTGGAATTCTTACCCCAACATGACCTGTGGCTATGTAGTAAAATGGTGTCATTCATCTGTGACTGAACCCTGTAGTGTGGACTGGCAGAAATTTCCTTCCAATACAACAGATGCAGTGATAAAATCTGGTAAGTTAGAAATACTTTTTTGTCAGTCTTTCTGGTTGTGAGAAACTGAGCAGTGAGTGGAATAAAAGCAGAAGCAATGCTATAGTTTGAAGATTGTTGCATTGCTTTGTGCTTGTGTATATAAATGAACCCTGTCTTGGTACTGTACCCTTGCCTTGGTACTTGGTACCCTTGCCAAATCCAAATATCAGTCTTGACTTAACTGTTACCATTGTATGTTTATTAAATGTTTTGAAATTTCCTCTGGTAGCTACACCAAACAACTTCATAACTGAGCCTAATGCATAATGGTTAAACTAGGGTTTGGGGGCTTATTTAGATTCTAAATGTAAACAGTGCTGCTCAGGATGGGGGGAAGACTAATCCGTTGCTTTATATGTGGCAATTTTTTTTAAGTGTGACCTCCGTTTGTTGGCTTGCTGTCAGCTATTGAAATTTCCTGAAACAGGGCACATTCCAGGTCTCTAGATGCTGGTGTGCAGATCAGGGAAATGAAACTCAGCTGTGGTGGGACTATTAGGAGCAGAAGAGGAAAGAGAGGACCCAAAAAATACATAGGATACCTTCTTTCCTGTCTATTTGCTTTTTAGAAGAGTTTAGTGTATTAATTCTCCTTTAGAGAAAACAACTTGGAGCTGTGTACATAGGAAAGTTGGGGGGAGTGGGAGTTGGGAGGGGGAAGCAGCATGTTTTCTTGCCTGTAATTATAAGACTGTCCTTTTTTTTTTTTTTGTTAGTGCTGGCTAGAGCTTGCATTTTCTAAGGTAACAATACTGTGCACACCAATGCACTGCCCTACTCCTGAGCTCTTCCCTGGGGTGCATCTTGCAGCACGCTGTGGGAGTTACTAGGCTGCTAAGGCTTGGCAAACCCACCTCTGTTCTTTGTCCTGCTGGGAGAATCTCTCAGGATGGACCTGAACTCTTGCAAAGCCTACCTGACTTCTGTAGTTTCATTCACAGTGGCATCTTGTTTAGAAAATCTTGAAAGTGGTGCACACTGTGAACTAGAGGAAAACGCAGAAAGTGGTAAATTATTTACACATTGTAGTACTGAACACCTATGCCTCCACCAAAGATATGTGAAGCGGAAATTTTTTTACTATCTGTGTTTTGTAGAGACAGTTCAGGCTTGGAGTTCATTGCTGAAGTGCTGAACTACCACTTTTGAAAGTTCTCTGAATTTCTTTTGTACTGTTGCTGTTGTAAGCCTGGTTATTTCAAAATGCATTTGTATTTCTGAGAAGGAGGCAGGATCTACATGGCTGCCATGGGAGGAAAGGAACGGTAATGTTTCTGGTAACTTCAGTTTGTGTTTCCCCATGGAAAGAGCAATTTATGCAATTTGAGTAGCTTGTTTTGAATCCCAATTGTTTAGAACCAAAATTTCTCTGGGAGCTAGATTTGCTTACTTCTTCTAAACCTCATCTGATGGCATAATTTTATAGGAATTACAAGTAGGGATAGTATTTATAACTAACATCGCGGTCTAAGACTAGTTTTTCAGTACCTATTTATGTAAGACTGTCATGTCAAAGCTAAAAGCATCACTCTTTGTAAGAGAAACAATTCTTACAGTGATTTTCTCTTGTAGCTCTCTTTAGACCTGGCGTGAGATACAACTTCTCACTGTACGGCTGCAAATCCAGTGGATATCAGTTATTGAAAAATATAACTGGGTATATGAAAGAGCTGCGTAAGTGCACTTTTATCATTCAGTATCTTTACAAAGTGAATTTAGACTGTGTCTATTTTTAACTCAGTGTTGGCAGAAGAACATCAAGACCAGAATCCCTGTGCAATACTACTGACTTGTTCTGACTTCTGCTTGTTCTCTGCATATAACTGGAATACCAACCACTTCCAGTTCCCATCATGGAATAACCTTGTGTTCTCCAGCCTGCATGGTGTCACAGTGTGTCACAGAAGGTTGCTCTGAAGACCGTGGCCTTGAGAGGGAAAGGGAGAGGCATGATTTGAACCACAAGGGTGTGGGTCACTTCTGTATGAAAGAAGGCAGCTTTTTTGATTTATCGAGTCAAATTAAACTTCTGAGAACATTTGGTACAGCTCAGCAAATAAAAAAGTGTCCACAGTATTTCTGTTATAAAGCACTTCTTAGACCAGAATTAGATCCTAGAGTACGGGCCATTTTGAGAACTTCACTTGTGTTCCATCCTGTACCAACCATGTTTGGGTAACTGCAGTTTGATTGAGAGCTGGGCTCTGCTTGCCTGGAGATTCATTAGTGTCCAAATGCTTTCTGTTCCCAGGAATCTAAACATGGCTTTACCCTTTAAACTCACAACTGTATTATATTGTAACTTACAGCACCCATTTCACTTTGATGTTTAATGTGTTTTCTGCTAAAGTAGTTTACTGGAAAACTGAGCTGCTGACATGATCCGAGCCCTTGGATATGTCGTTGTTTATTTCATTATTGAGGTTGAAGGTGAGGTTAAGGCAATTTTACCAGAAACTGAACTTTCAGCAATTTGTATCTCTGTGAAAATCCTAAATAGTTTTCCAGAAGGTTTTCCCTGTGTGTTCTCAACACATTGGAAGGGTAAAAGGATAAAGACTGTAGGGGGCTAAAAATGCATCAAACGTGCAGAAAAAAATTTACTAGGAACTGAGAAATGTATTCACTTTGCACAACAGCATAGATTCATTCTAAAACTCCAGATTTGCCTTTGTACAGCAAACCATCAAGACAAAAATAGATGCATTCTTACACGAGTTCAGCCCTGGTAATTCAAGGCCAAATGTCAGACAAATTCCTGATGCACATGACCTTAGACAGTATCTGATGTAACGTTTTCCGTGGGGTACAGGTATTGGAATAAGGACTTGTGATGCCTGCTAAGAGTAATTCTTTTAAGCTGTGATAGATTTCCATGACAGGAATGTGGAGTTTGTTTAATTTAAAGGCAAGCCATGAAGTCAGGGGGTTAAAGCCTTTAAAAGCTAAGCAGTTCACATGCTCTGAATGACCTTTTGGGGTGTCTTGCAGGAAGAAGGGTATTTACATGGATGGGTCTGTAAGAAGGCTGCCCGAGGAGAGATATATCTTTCAGCTTCTGTTAGTAGATAATACTACAGCAATTAATAACAGAGGGACCAAAGGCTGGTATTTTTGTAGTATCATCTGCTAAGACTTCTCATGTGTGCTTGAAAAGTATTCAGGAAAAAGCTGAGAATGCTAGCCCTGAAATAAAGCTAATGAAACACTTACATGGATTCAGAATTTGATGATCAGGTGCTTTCTTACTAGCTTTTTCCTCTGTAATTCTCCCAACAGCTCCAAAACGTGCACCAAATTTTACTGTAGAAGAAACTTCTTCAGATTCTATATTGGTAAAATGGGAAGACATTCCTATTGAAGATTGCCAGGGGTTTTTAGAGGGATATCGGCTTTCCTTTGCAAAAGGTGAAAAAGATGCTTTGAAGCCTAGGCTTTCAGAATCAGGTAAATGTAATCTATAGGTTGCAGTTTCCTTGCTCAAGCTTTTCTCTTCCTTCTTTTTGTTTTCCTTAAGAATTTAATTTTACTCTAAAAAAAAAAAAAAGAAAAAAGAAGATGCTTTTATCATAACTCAGTTGCATTACTCACTGGTGTAGTTGGCCACTGATATGTGACAAAGGCACTTGAAATAATCAGCTCCTTGTGTGGTTAGCGTGGTTGTTTGTTGTTTGTTTTTTTAATATAAGACATAATTTGGAGAAAACCCTGCCTTACTGAGGCCATAAAGCAATGTGGCGACTAATTGGCAATGTAACACCTACCCTGTGTACAGATACACAAGTAGATGAGGTGGGGGAGGTTAGATAACTGTATTTAATTGGTTTTATA